GTGGGGCGCGGGGGGGGGGGGAGCGAGGCGGCGGCGCGGCGGCGGCGGCGGCGGCACCATGTTCCCGGGGACTGCCTGAGCCGCCCGGCCGGGCGCCGTCGCTGCCAGCCGGGCCCGGGGGGGCGGCCGGGCCGCCGGGGCGCCCCCGCCGCGGAGTGTCGCGCTCGGGAGGCGGGCAGGGGATGAGGGGGCCGCGGCCGGCGGCGGCGGCGGCGGCGGCGGCGGCCGGGGGCGGGCGGTGAGCGCTGCGGGGCGCTGTTGCTGTGGCTGAGATTTGGCCGCCGCCTCCCCCACCCGGCCTGCGCCCTCCCTCTCCCTCGGCGCTCGCTCGCGGCTCGCGGCTCGCGCTCGCTCCTCTCCCCTCGCAGCCGGCCTGGGCCGGCGCCGACCCCCGCCCCGGAGCCCTTGCCGGCCCGGCCGCCCGCGCTCGGGGCTGTTTCCGCGAGCAGGTGAAAATGGCCGAGAACTTGCTGGACGGACCGCCCAACCCCAAACGAGCCAAACTCAGCTCGCCCGGCTTCTCGGCGAATGACAGCACAGGTGAGGGGGGGCCGGGCGGGGGGCGGGGGCCCCACCCGCAGGTGAGCGCCGGGGAGACCCTCTCCGAGGCGCAGGCCCGCGCAGCCGCTTCCCAGGACCTGGCCGGGCCGGCCGAGGGGAAGTTTGTGGCCACAGTGCGCCGGGGCCCCGAGCGGGGGCCGGCCCTGCCCGGGCGCTCGCGGCCGGCGCCGGAGTTGGGGAGTCCGCGCGCCGAAAGCGAGCGGTACTTGCGGGAAGGAAAAGTAAAGTGGAGCGTGCTCGTCTTCGTGGGGATTCCACGCGCCTCCCTGTGCCGCCGCGCGTCGGCACACGCGGGGCTGCCCGGAGGGATGACAGCACAGGGTAGGTTTCATGGTTAGGGAAGGGGAAAGTGCAGCGGAGGGGGGGACCCAAAGTGTTTTCTGAACTAGTAGCACAATTCGCAGCGCTGCGACCAGAAGACACACCGGTAGCAGCAGCCAGCCTGGGAGTTAAGACTTGGAAGTTTCTTGGAATGTGCTCCTTGGGAAAATGTTGAGCAGTTATCCTGAAAACTCTCATTCTTCGGTCACTTACTTCGCCAGCCCAGACTTCGTTAGCAGCATGTCATCAAAGTTGCTCTGGTGTGTTTAATTTCAGAGGCATAACCTTAAAAGAAAATTAGGTAGCAGATCCTTTTGGGCTACAATGTCCACTTGAGCTGGTGCGGTTTTTACAGTGTAGATGTATAAAACAAATATGTTAACGAATGTGGGAATTGCAGTTTTTGCCCTCCCCCCCCATTTTTTTTTTTTTTTTGAAAAGCAGGGTATTAAATAAAACGTCCTTTGAAACAGCATCTCTGAAAACTTTCTGAGATAATCCCATCAGTTGCTTAAGAAGTATTTTAGTTTCTATTCATTTAATAACTCTGGATTCTTGTGGGCTGGTCCACCGTACCATTATGATGGAGCTGTACTTCCTCTTTCAGAGCTCTCCTTTGCAGTAAAAACTTGTGCGCTGCTGGGAACAATTCTGTCTCCAGCGCAGCCTGCGTTTCTCCAGTACAGTCTTGCAGTAGCAGCATCTGAAAATCAGTTTATAATGAATGGGTCCAAATTGAATTATATTGCTGCAGCAGTGCCCTCAGATTTGCAGTAGACACAGCTGTTCAGCTTGTGCGGATATTTCTGTGGCCACTGGCATATTTCTACTAATGGTCTAAAAAACCCATTTCTCCTGTTGAAACAAAACTACTTCATTTCTGTGGCTTCAGTTTTAACACAATTCCTAGAATATTAAGGTAGGCATGAGAGAAACGATTTTTTAAAAATTCGCCTTAAGGAGATTCTTGTCTTTAAATACAGTTTGCGGAATGGTGGGCGGGGGTAGTAAATAAGTCTCATGGGACATAAAAGTCACTAATACTATTTTTTAAATTTTTATTTATTTTTATTAATTTTTTAAAAGATTTTCTTTATTTATTTGACAGACAGAGATCACAAGTAGGCAGAGGGGCAGGCAGAGAAAGAGGAGGAAGCAGGCTCCCCGTGGAGCAGAGAGCCCGATGTGGGGCTCCATCCCAGGACCCTGGGACCGTGACCTGAGCCGAAGGCAGAGGCTTTAACCCACTGAGCCACCCAGGCGCCCTTTTTTTTGTTTTTTTTAAATTGATAAAGAATTGAATGTGATGTTTATTTTGTCAAGTCAACTTGTTTGAAGTAAGAAGTATGGAAACAGCCATGATTTAAATGCCCTTTTACTGCAAAACAGATCTCCTTTGCTTCATTAATCTTGCTATGTTTGAGTGAAAAGTCTTTAATCATATGAAACGAAGATCATAGCAGGCAAGTTCAGCTTTGAAGCTTGTCTTCCGAAACTGGCAACTTTTTGAATGGCTTTGCAGCTTTGCTGTTGTTGAAGGAGTTTATTACAGATTGTGCTTTCTATAGAGGGATAAATTACTAACACAAGACTTAACAGAAAGGCTTGTCCCACTATATACATTCCGTTCTTTCCAAGATGGAGCCGAGAGAATGGCCTTTTTGGGTAGTTCTGTTACTGGATGGTCACATATTTACTTAAAGCACTGTTAAATCACAACAGAGTTTATCTGAAAGGATTTTTCCCTCTTCGCCACCTTTCCCCCCGCTTCCTTTCTAACCTCGATCCTCCCAAGGCAGGAGCTCACTCTTTTCCAAATGTGGAACAAAAAAAAGTTTTTAATAGCTCCAATTTAAATCATTTAAAGAATAAAATTCATGCTCATACTTGTGTTGAGTTCCCTTGGTTACACATTCATCACATCATGTTATTGGGCAAGAGTCTGTTAGCGTGGGGCCCAGGAAAGGACCATCATCAGGCACGTGAAACGAGGTACAGCCTTGTCTCCCGTAACTGCTAGTCCGAGACAGAGATCTTAAGGATATATAGTAAGCAAGTAAAGGACGAAAGGAATCGCATTGCATACACTCAGAGGAGTGAGGGCATTGGGTTAGATGGGAAAGTAGGGAGACTCAACCGTATTTGTGAGGGGATGTATTTTTGAGGCTCCAAGGAGGAAGTTGTGCGAGGTGGAGCAAGGTGTGTTTCTTTCTGTGATAAAATTTGAGTGATGGGAGCTCTGTGCATAGGAAGAGCTGAGGGTTTAGGAGGAGGAGGCCTGGTGGCCTAAGAAACAAGAGTGATTTGGAGTGCCACCATGCAGTACATGTCTGTGGAACTGGCCTTGGGAGCCATTGGTGTCCGTTGCTTGAATCTGGGGGGCTGATGTTGGGTGGAGAGGACAGTACTCCTGACTTTGGGGAGCTTATTAGCCAGGGTGCTCCCTGCAGGGCACTTGCAATCTAGCGGGGGGAGTGTGGATGTGCCTAAAGCATGCCAGTGAGGTAAGGTGGCATCTCTGAGTGATAAATGTCACTTGCCACTGATGACAAACAGGAGAGGCTGGGAGTGCTTCTGAGAAGAGTGTGGAGAGGGGATACAGAACTAGAGAATGTGCCCCAAAGGAGGGTAGCAAGAGGAAGAAGGAAAAAATAGTACTTCTGACCTCACCCAGACCTCAGCTCTGGAGTGGCCCTGGATTTAATGTCATGAGATGTTGTGGAAGTCGCGTCTTCTTGTTCCACATTGAAGGTGTAAATGGTTTCTTGCAAGTGCTGTCTTCCTTTACTTGGCATCCATTGGAAGAGGTACGACTGTGTGTTTCCAGTATATAGTTAATTGTGTGTTTTGGAAACTTCCTTATTTAATATGTCCAGATTAAAACAGCATATTAGTCTTTTTCAACAGCAGGGATTCATGATTTAGTAGTGAGGGAGAAGTAAAATACCCATGCAAGCAGTAAACTTTTTTTTTTTTTTTCGGTCAGCTTTATTGAAGCCAGATTTACATACAACAAAAACTTGTTTAGTTCAAGTTTTTTAAGGCTGTCTTCTGAAAACTGCACATAGATCTGTTTCATCCTATCCTGTATAAGTGTCCCTAAGCAGTTGTCATTACACTTTTAACGTGAATCCCTTTAAATGCCATAGGAAACCACATTTAAAGAAAGCCTGGAGTGAATACAGTTGCCAACCAAAACACCTTTCACAACAAAACGGTGAACTGTTCTTTATGTGGTGTGTTACTTACCTGAGCGCTTTGCTCCTGTCCCCTCAGCTCGGGCCTCACAGCGTGCTGTGAGGCAGGATGGGAAGACACTCTTCCTGCCAGTTCTCTGTAAGGAGCCAGACTCGGGAGAGGTGATCTGCCCAAAACTAGAACCAAACCTAGATGAGGAGAGTAAATGACTGTATATTCGTTTTACAACTCCACATCCATAAATGTGAGATTTGCTTGAATCGTGGGTTTACGAGCTTGCAGTACTTGGCAGGTTTCAGTAGTGTGACTCCGGCAGGTGGAGTACATCTCGGGGGGAGGTCTGCCACCAGCTCTGGGGGAGCGGGATGCGTTCTTCCGACTGAGGGTAGCAGCAGGGGCTGCCCCTTCCCTCTGGTTCTGGTGCAGCAGTTTGGCCCCCCCCCCTTCCTGTGGTGACAGTGGAAAATTGAGGACCAGTCACTTTTTTTCATCTCTTCACCGAGTTCTGGCTAAATGGGAAACAAACTTTTATAGAGACTTCTAGGGCCAGGGCTTTTCATGACTTTGCTTTACTTTACACGTGTTGGAAAAGTAGGGACTTTTGGATAACCTAAAGCTCCGTCGAAGTTGCTTGGGGGTGATGATAGGTAAGTACGAACCCCACTAGGGGTGCCTCGCAGCACAGCAGGCCTCCAGGCGTCACTCCTGTTTGACATTGGAGTGTGATCCCCTGATTCTAAAACGGTATGGAAGCAGCTTGGAAAGGGATGAAGGAGCTTCTGCTTCGACCAGTAGCTGTGTTTGTACAACTTCTGCCTCCTGCCTCTGCCGCTCTCTGACAAAGTATGTGATTACTTGGGGCCACGTAAGTGCTGACGTCGTGTTCTACTTAGTGTGTTTGAAAACAGAAGAGTTAAAATGACTCTGCCAAAATGTGCCTTCCCTGGTTAGGATGAAACGTACCTTGTTGTGACCTCTGGAAGATGAGCAAAGCTTGCGTTAGGCCAGTTTAGTTCTTGGGTCCCATTAGTCGGGACACCACCTCTGCCATCTTAATTCAAGCCAGCATTCCGGGTATATGCCAAGGAAACTAGAAGGCATGCAAAGAAGCGTTTCTCAGAAAAGGTTTTGTGCTCACACGAGGCTGGGAGCAACTTTACTGCAAGGCCTTCCCGGAGCCCTCGCATGCTGCGGGGCTCTGGGCCTCGGGGTGCAAGGCTCTGGTTTGCACATTCATTCCCACACCCTTTTTATGTAATGCAAGGGTCCTCAGACTTCCTGTAGAGGACCAGAGGTCATATTTTTGGCTCTGCAGGCCACATGGTCGCTAATAGCTACTGAACACTGCCATTTGCGTACCACCTGTACGTACACCAGCGGGCGCCGCTGTGTACCAGTGAGCTAGTAACTTCTGTCGGAGCCAGGAGCTGGCCCTCGCGCCACAGTGTGCGACCCTGATG